AATGGCAACCATAACAGTCACACTTAGTACAGTGTTAGGGTTGAACTGGATGAAATAATGTTTAGGCTCTTGGGAAAGTATTGATTGGAAAATATTTAAAGAATTTCTGGACAAGATGATAAGCCTGTGATGGAAAATTTCCTTTCTTTGTAAAAATACGAGGCCACAATCTGCACAAACTGTAACAGAATTCTTCAAGTGTTTATTTGGCTGATCTTCCGTAATAGTTTCCTGCAGGTAATTACACATGAATGCCAGATTTTCTACATTTGTGTCATTTAGGGATGGCAAACTATTCCTAAGCTTTGACTCCCTTCTCCTGGTGACATTATTCAATCTCAATCAGTCGGGATTTGTCTAATTAATTGGGTGAGCTGTAAGTAAAGTACTTAAAGTAACTAAACTAAAAAGGAAGTGAGATGCGTTCCAGTAAATTAGAAGGAAGAATATTTTGAATAGCGAGAAAGTTCCATCAACATTCATATTGCGCGTTTTTAAATGGCAATGCAGTTTAAATTGCATGTTTGTTAAAGAAACAGCAAGCAGTTTTAAATTAAATTTGCAGTGTTCTGGCTGACGGTATGATTAGCACCGCGATTTGCATTGCAATCCCTTTAATGTCAGAGGGAGAGCTGGGTATAAGTGTCATCAGCTAGGCTGACAGCACTGATTGGCTGAGGGGTTAGTGGTTCACCCCGTTGTCCTTGAATGAAGGGGGTGGATGTAAAATAACACACATTCCTGTCCACTTAGGCAGCCAGAAGGCAACAATGATCAGTGTGCCTCAGTGCATTTTTTACATTTCTGGATTTAAAGTGACGTTTAAGCACATTAACAGGAACAGGACACTACTCCTGGTTTAAGGCGATTCTCCGTCAGTGAGGGAATCTAACGTAAGTTCTTCCTGTTAAGAAGCAGCAATGTCTCCTCAGGGATTTATGAGTTTCTCTTCTTCCAGCATTCTTGCAGAAGTATTTCAATTCTGCCAAAGATGCTTATTGGGAAAGATCATAAATTACTGCAGGAACTTTTTTGGACGCACAAAGCTTAAATTTTCTCAGACGGCATGAACGAGTGCAGCACACAGCACGGACTACTGGTGAAGAGGGGCAGATGATTCTACTTTACTTGACACAGAATGGGCTGTGTGGTGGCTCAGTGGGTAGTCCCGTGGCCTCAGATCTCTAGACTTATGGCTTTGAAATCCCCCCCCCCCACCTTGTGTGTGAAGTTTCTAGCTGTGTTTGTGTGGGTCTTTCAGAGTCATCCATTTCCTTCCTAGAGGCTATGAATGGGCATTATGTCCAGTGAGTCCCCTGTGCTTTGACACACAGAGCTAATGGTTATGGGACACAGGTGACACAGAAGGGTGATTAAATCAAGTCACCTTATTGTCATTTTATACATGAAACAAAATCGTGATTCTATGGAGCATCAAATAGCTAGTACAAGATTAGTTCAGCAATAAATACTGGGGGGATAAATAAAACAAGTAGTGAAACAATACACAATAGTAGTGCATGACAGAGGCATGGAGTGTAGACTTGGAGTGTGTTGGAATAGGAGAGATCCAGCCACCCTTTCCAAGCCAGTGGCTCTTTTTCATTGACGTATCCCCTGAAGAAAACATGGGGTGTTAACTGGCTGGGTGACGGCTGGAGGAACATGAAGAGGCTGGGGGCAGGCGATGTCCAAGCTGCAATGAAAACATTCATATGATCCAGTTTCTACTTCGCTGTGGGGAGAGGAAGCGGGCCATTACAGAGGAAGAGGAATAGAGCTGAAAAAAACAGAAGTAGCAGCACAGAACTTTCCAGACAGATATGGTTTCTGTAGGAAGTTATAGTGAAGGTATAAGTATGTAAATAAAAGGCTTAAAGGTCAAGGACATGAGCTGTTGACAAATAAATGGAGATGAATAATTAAATTACTCTACTGCTACACATTTTCTCACAGTCTCCAACTCGTAACTTTTTTCTATCTAAAACATGCAGTTTAATGTTTCCCTCCCTCACATACACAAATAGTTATTCTCTGGAGTGCTTTTTTAAGGGTACAGAACTATCTTGTGTTACAAATGCTAAGCTGCAGCTATTCTACGTTTTAAGTTTTTTAAGTTGTGACATTTTACGAGCGAGAACCAAACGGTCTCATTATCAGTCAGTTCCCATATCTTGGTGCATGTGTGTCTTTACCACAAACAGCGTTCAGATCATTCATGTCCTCTAGGCTCCACGTCTGGCATTTGTTAGTCCAGGAATGACAGTGATGCGGATTCTCCAAAAGGCTCTTATCAACTGAGCGGAACCTCCTGGGTGATGTGAGTGTACATCGCTCGCCTAGGCTCTGATCTGAAGAGCTGAAAGCCAGAGAAGGGATCACTTCATTCAAATGGACTCAGCTTCCCCCTGACTCATTAGCTGTTTCATAACTGTGATGCTCTGTGAGGCAGCACAATGAGAAGGAGGTGACCTCTGCAACGTCGAAGTGTCAAGAGCGTAAGGATTCATCATGCTTCTTCAGGCATGTTTAATGCGCAATTATTTATGAGGGCCGCAGGGAAAGGATGCAGTGCTGTCTTGTCAGATGGCATTAACATCAAACCCAGAGGGATATATGCTCCTGTGGTTTAGTCGAACTAACCTGCATGCTTACAATCTTCCATAAATGCGTTGTTTTTTGATAGGGGCTCGGACAGGCACCATCTTCTAGACTTCTCCAGCCTTAGCCCGGTTAGTTTGATGTGATGTGATCTTTTATCCCGAGAAAGAGGCCTAAAGTGTGAAGCTTAAGGTGAGCAGTTCTAACCCCTGCATGACCATGGAAGGTAGTGCTGGGCATGGTCCTCTTCTCAGTGTAGCCTAGAAAATTTCTTGCTCAGTAACCACATCCGTTCAACTCAAGGGAAGTACAACACCACTGAGCACTCCTTTCACTGAAGAGAGATAGTGAAAGATCTCCCCCAGAGACAAACAACAAACAGTCATGCACAACTATGCTGTGTACAGGCTCAGGAACATGAGACAAGTCCTGACAATGACCAACTCTACCCTAGTTACTCAATGGCTCTTCACACTTGTGAATTGCATATTTACCAACAGTTTTGTACAAGATAATATGCAAATATTATCTCCTACTAAGACTTGTAGTGGCGTGACCTACGAAGGCAAAGCTACACCCAGCCTTCAAATGCAGCAATCGGCTTAAGCAGAACAGCATGTTAAGCAAAGGGCCATGACTGTCGTAAGGTCCATCTGAGTAACATCATGCAGACGAAATTTAAGGGTGAAGGACCCTTGTTTAGAAGCAGTGTACTATGAAAGATAGCTAGATTTGCTTGAGCCAAACACAAATATAGAGTAGACAGTGGCCTCAGGTGGGTTTATACATGCACACACAGAATGAGGATCAAACACCATTTTTGCTAAATCAACCACAATTACTATTTGCATATAAAACTTTAGGGGAACCAATGAAACCAATGCAGTTGTACTGCGGATATTTTAGTGTTATTATATAGATGACAGGATAAAAAGATACTGAGATAGTAAATGTGTAGAATACACAGGGTGCATGGCTTTATGGGAAGCATTCATTGAATAACTAAAAGCTAAGCCAAATGTAGCAAGACTTGGTTAACATCCCTTGCCCGTGATCCCAGCATGCAAACAGGGTTTCACAAACACATCACACCCAGCTAAGGATTCTCAGACATGAAATATTGAACAGTGCATTTGGCCTTAATAGGAAACAGCATTTGCACCAAAGTCCAAAATGCAGAACTTAGACGTTTTCAGCCACAGTCACTTAAGACTGTGTTCTCTAAAAAATATTTCTTGTATTTAATCAAATGAATTATTTAAAAAGCATTTGAACAATATGACAACCCTTTATAAGATAAGCAGTTTGAACATTTGAATGTATTGTTTTAGGTATTATGTAATGTCCAATTAAATATTATGTTATAGTATAAATGCCTATATAGAAAATGTACTTATAATGTGACATTATAATGTTATTAACCATCTTTTGCCCAGCATTAGAACACCTCTTAGAGCAACAGCCAATAGGGAGAAGCGGAATAACCGAGTAGCTATGTATGGGTGGAAACCAGCTAGGGGCACATCTCAACAAGGAGAAGCATGTCTGGCCCTGCATCAGGCCTCGCTCTGGAAGAGCACAAATCTAAGATAGTCGTGTGACATTTTCCAATTGTCCTCTATTAACATTTTCATCCAATTAGAGTTAATAAACCTTTAATGGTGCTTTTGGATAATGGATAATTAGGGTCATTACAGAATTGGACAAATGACCTAAAGGCAGCAGGTTTGAGGCTTAGCTAGAAGCATGCTGAGCCATAATTACATTTAACGATGTAGCAGTTGTGTAAAAGCCTCGGACAGGTTGGTGCATGCATCAGTATTGGTTGTGTAAACCTGCCAGTGCAAAAGTGCGGCCTGAAGACCAGCTGCCCCTACTTCTGCTCTCCATCCCTTCCTCTGCTGCACCACTTTCAGACCTGTAGTGGCGTTGCATTACAAAGTGAGGGACTCCCTCTGTCAACAGTGTCCTCGAAAGCCAATGGAAGAATGAGGATGAGAATATGCTGGAAGGCTTGTAATTTGCTTCCATGGGCCTTTTCGAATTCCACAGGTACATCAAGGGCCCTAGAGTTGCACAAGCGGCAGAGGGCCAGTCTAGACTCTTCCCCTGCCTGCTGCATTCCTCAGCTTGGTCTCAGTGCATGAAAAACCCTGCCTGTTTGTTGACTGCCCTTCCTGCACCATGTATTAACCCCTTTGTAATTATAATGTGTGTTATAGACTTCTGTAGCTGCTGGGTTGAGTTCTCACCCAAGGTTTTCCCAAAGTCCCTCCTCGGGAGTCCAGGCTGATGTCGTGGACTACGGTCACAGTGTAACCTGGGCCTTGTCTTTGGCTTTACGTTGATTTTTTATTATTTGAGTCATCGCTCCCTCACAGCAGAAAAAACTGGAACCATTAAGCTGCACATTTTATTTGTAAGGAAGGATACTGGATCATCATATTTCACCTCAATTATAGCTTGTTCTGAAACTGAAGTTGCCGAAAAAAAACAATGACAAAATAGGGAATGTGGAGAAAGGCACAGTGGATAAAGCTGAGTGGGTATTGAGTGTATGGACAGCAATGGCATGTGTGCTCAGCAGACGCCAGACTGTCTGTCACTGTTTTTGTGCTATCAGGCATGAGCAGGAGGCCACAGGTAGAAGAGATGGTGTCAGCCTTCAGCAAGCAAGCCGCTCTTCATGGCCAGGGTCCTTGCTCACGTTGATAGGGAGTGTCAGCTTTCAGAGCCCCCCTAATGAACCAGTTAAACCTCACAGGGTTAAATGTTAGGTTCTGGGGGATCTGCTTCTCAAACAGAGGGGACTTTGGTACTCTGTGGCTTAACGCCAGAACAGACTTTTCATCTGACAGGAGCCTTTCCAAGTCTAATCCTCACCCACGGCTCCCTGCCTCATCCATGGCTGTTACACCTGGATGAGCACAAGTGGTATTATGGGATGTCATACCATAGGGTCAAACCCATGACCTTCCACTCACAGCCACAGCCTCCTACGCTGCTGGGCCACATCACCCCTTGTCTAGATATCAATCATTTGACAAATCGACAGGCAACAATTTATCTTTCGGTTTTGGAACTGAAACAGAAAAAAGAAAAAATAAGTCATATTTATGCAGTTAATTCAGAGGTTCCTGGCTCAGTGACCCCAAGAAAGGATAAACAACTGTAGAAGATGGATGAATGGATCTATGGATGAAGTAACAGAATCCATCTACGTATCTCAAGACCCAGCAGAGTTTGGAGAATTGAGTGGCCACTTATAGAGGTAACAGAGGTAAATTTAGCACTCGGGCCGAGTTCAAACTCCAGGATGGAACTGAGGAATGTGTCTGCAGGGCATTCAGTGATAAGGCTAAGACCTGCAGTGCACTAAAAGAGAATCTGATTACTTCAGTAAGCCAGGCATGTAAGAATGCTCTCACAAAGCCAGTGTGTGTTCAAACACTGTATTGTTTGGCTTATATCGGGGGTCCTGGGGGCACGCTTTCCTCACTTTAGTGATATTACGTCAGCAACCGGTCCTTGTAACGCCTCCAAAAGTGAATTATCCTACTCTGTGTAACCGCAATCCAGTGGAAAGGCGAATTCCACTACAGAAAAGGCATGTTTTTTTTCCAAAGCCTAATATGGTCATGCTCTGTGTGGTCACATGATCCAGACAGACCTCTCTGTGAAAAAAAGCTCTACTCACACATTCCTTTAGGGGCTTTTTGTACATGCCCAGATGGGACAGAAAATGGCCCACCTTAAATGGATTTTTGGATGTACCCGACGTACACGGTGCAGAGCTTTTGGTAGAAGCTGAACAGCCAGCTATTTTAAACAATTGCAATCTTATTTCCATTAGATAGGATTACTTTTTGTGTTTTTGTGTGAGTAGAAAATGGTGCACTCTTTCTCTCACTGAGAATACATTCTTATAAAACTCTTTCCGATTTTCTGAATTGCTTTCGGTTTACCTTTTTTGGCCTTTTTCCCCTCAGTATTGTCCTATTTCTTTAACACCAAACAAACCTTACAAAAATAAATAAATAAATAACATAGTACATCTAAAAAATAACAAATCTGTTACTGTAATTATAATGTAGCATAAAGCATTATGAGGGGGTAATATTAGTTTTATGTTTGTTTCAAAAACTGAATATGCTTCAGAGTCTCATATACAAGGTTTCAAAATAAATGTGTCATATCCTAGGTTTCATTCTGACATATCATAATTTGCTCTGTTTTCAAATAGCTTTTTTTTAAAGTTTTTTAAAATAGGCTTTAAATCTGGCCTCTGGACAACAAAAAGGGTCTTGCGTGTTAGCCGGGAAGTATATTACAGACTTAACAAAAAAAAAAAAAGTAAACCGCACAGTTTGGTTAAAAAAATGTCCCCAGTCAAACCTATTCTGTGTCATTAATGTGCAGTTGAACCCAAACAATGAAAAAAATACCTGGCATTCATTCGTCATGTGCTGCAGCTGCAGTGGGCCGTCCCCCCATTGGCCAGCTGTCGCCCTCAGCTTTTGTGCCTTCCAATGAAACAATGGCAGCAGCCGTTTTCCCACCACAGCCATGCTAATGAGCTTGAAGAAGAATGGCCCGCTCCCTGCCAGCCTTGCAGAGAAGGAGCCAGGCGACAGAACTGAAAAGCCTTCGTGTCCTGCACCAATACACCATGCTATGCCACTCCACAGCCTCCCCGTCTGCTATAGCCGGCACTGAGTCAGGTGGCTGGGCTGCATCTCAGGGAAGTCCCATGTCCTCTGAGAAGCCCTGTGTCCTCAAGGAAAACCCCATGTCCTCAGGGAAACCATGTATCCTCAGGGAAGTCCCATGTCCTCTGAGAATCCCTGTGTCCTCAAGGAAAACCCCATGTCCTCAGGGAAACCATGTATCCTCAGGGAAGTCCCATGTCCTCTGAGAATCCCTGTGTCCTCAAGGAAAACCCCATGTCCTGAGGGAAACCACGTATCCTCAGGGAAGCCTCACATCCTCAGGGAAGTCCCATATCCTCTGAGAAGCCCTGTGTCCTCAAGGAAAACCTCATATCCACAGGGAAACCATGTATCCTCAAGGAAACCTGTGTCCTCCAGAAAGTCCCCTTTACTCAGGGATGCCCTGTGTCCTCAGTGAAGCCTGTATTCATTTGAGGGCTTTTCTCTTGAAAGGATGTGAAGCCCATCCTGAGCCATCATCAAGGTCCCCACTCCCAAAGACCCACAGAAACTAATCCATGCCATTACACACCGTGATTATGATTATTCCAGAAAGGCCTCCTTTCTTTTCTGCTTCCCCCACATTGTTGAATCGAGTCCTCCAGAATTTTCTCCTCCAATCTGGAAGACCCTTTTGAAGTTATTGGACTCCAGCACCAACATCATGCTATATCTGGGATCGGGAGATTCATCCTTCCTCCTTTTCTTTTTTACGCTCCGCCCTGTGTGTGGTCGTGGTTTTGGAAATGCTGGGTCTCTCTTCCTTTTGGTTGCAGGAGAGGACATTCTCTGAGCTGTCACTTAGTCACTGAATTACCAAGGACAGCACTAACAGTCTGAATCTGGTCAGCTTCACTACCTGTGCTTTTCCTCCGAACGGAGAGGGGAAGGAATGTACAAAACATTGCTATTCAGTTTCTATTTTCAGCTGATGAAAGAAAAATGACAGAAAACACATATAAGTGTATAGCAATGTAAAGCACCAAATAATTCAAGCAATGCACCATGAATACATCTGACCTTGATAAAATTAGAAAGGTGTAGCAGAGAAGCAGCAGAAGAGAGAAGGATAAACAGCAGGGTTAGTTGGCTGGGGGACTCACCTGGAGGTGCAAATTGGATGTAGAATGTCTTTTATTATCACATGTTCACACCCTACACTGCTACAGCAAGGAGTTGAGTCAGCCACATGCATGGCTGATTCCCCAAGAGGTCCTCCTGCAAAAATGCTCCGTCCATCTGATCTCTGAGGTTGATATTAGCGATCATTGCAGGCCATTCAGTTCTGTGAGTGACAGCCCTATTAAAAGGATCACTGAGTCAACGCATCATATAGTGGTTACGTATGGTCAGTCACAGCAAAACACATGCCAAGATAAATATATTTAAATAAAAATACATATCCTTTTTCTAAAAGTAGCTGCTGTGATTTTACATTCATGAATAGGTCTCCAATTCCCCCATCTGGATCCATTCCCTAAAATGTAAGCTGTCCTTATGGTGACGTCTGCTCTTGCTCAGAAAAAGCAAAAAAATGCTACCTAGTCAGTGACTATGAAAATATATTTGAAGAATGATTAAGGTTGACTTCACTGCCATTTTTATGAGAATGGAAGCAAACAACATGGCCTCTGCTAAATCATTTGGCTAAAAGTAATCAAATCTGGGTATAGCAGAAAACACCTTTCATTGCTTTTAGAGGTAGTGATGAAATCAAAGCTGATTGTTTTTAGGCCTCCGGACCTAAAGTACTATTATATGATTAACAACCACTCTTATATACAATATATACAGCTATACAAATGCTAAAGCAATTATTTGTGTAGTTATAAGCTATGTCATTGGCCTTTTACAGTAGTGTGAACGCAGAAGTTTCAATGCTAGTGATAATGTTTTCAATGCTAGTGATAATGGTAGTGTGGATGCAGATCTCCCACAAAAAAAAAATTAAAAAATACACATTGGTGCAGATATAGCCTTACTACGAGAGGAAATGAACTTTTTATGGGCTAGGGATCAGAGACTAAAGTACAAAGTTTAATGCATTATTGAAATATTCCAATGGAGATGAACTCTTCTCTTCCAGATAGGATGTAGATTTGGGTATGGATGGTAGGGACATGTCCCTACCAATATTGAAGGATTACCTAGTATGTTTAAAGGGGTGGAGGATTTGGGGCTGATGCAAGCCCTACCACTGTTGAAATCAAACCTACACCTTTGACTGAAACACAAAGATGCTTACTAGACATTGTGGCGCTTGCTAACATGCACATACATCTTATGCAAACAATAGCAATTCCCTTTATCAGAGGTTTTATTCTAAAATACTGAGCTGGAATACTAAGCCTTAAGCCTAACTAGTTCTGTTTTACAGCACATCCTAAACCATTGTGAAATTTCTCTGTTGCTCATATTTCAAGGTGGTGGCTGTCAAGGACTGCAAATCAGCCCACTTATGAAGAGTTTGGCAAGCCTGGACTCTGGATGAACACAGATTGTCTACAGCAGGTCATCCAGGGTATGGATTCGCCTAAAGAGCATGCTGTCCTGTGTTTATACAGTATATCAAGATAGAGAGTTACGGAGGGGAACACGAGCTGTCCTTTGTTACCAGCCTCTGCCTTGTGTTAATTGTATAAAATGGCAGATTGCCTTGGTTGTTTTGGGTTGAGAGGGTCACCAACCTGGATCCACCTAATTAACAGAGTTAATAAGACATTTTCTGTCCTGAATCCTTGTCCTGCCTGTTGCCCCTCCTGCCCCCTACATGCCTGACAAATGTCTCCCACGCTGATGCTTCCATTATTTATAGCCATATTGATATAAATCTTGACAGAGTGCTCTCTATCGCTTTAGGAAATAGGCCTCTTCTTGCTTTCGATTCAGAATCAGAATCTTATGCCTTGGCTTGGCAGCATTGGTCAGTGATAACAATGGAGATTTACCTGGCTTCTGATGGATTTCTTCAGTTGTGTTAATATATAATGACAGGATAACAGACTTTACATAACATTACATATTCATTGCTTGAAACATTGTGATACATACTTTTCATACTGGTTTTCATGAATAATTACAAAATGGCATAGAACAGTGAATGGACCGTAATGACATCAAACCCAAACCCACAGAAACACAGTGATCTGATGAAACAAAACAAAATCCAAAGAAAAATCTATGTTAAAACCTACAAAAATGCCAAAATGTGTAGACAGCAAATAAAATAAATAATAATACCTTCACAACACTGGATCATTTTGCAAGTTATTAGATCCTATTTTATGCAAACAGCAGCATATGCATTTCGTAAGTGCCTTAGATCTTTATCTCTATTAATGGGATTGAGAAAAGGAAAAGGAACCAATGAATGAAAAGTCAGAGTAAGGAAAAAGTGAGATCATTAACCCTCATGCTGCATTTGTTGTCATGCTGAGATGTGCACGGTCATGGTGCTTTGGCTTTGGAACACCCCACCCCCCCCTTGCAGTTCTCAGCCATGAAAGACCCATGTGACTTTAAAGGAGAGAGGAGAAGTGAGTCAGTTCCTCTGCACCTGCAGCCATAGATACTCGAGAAGAATACGGAAGCTGTACAGGGCCACCCATCGGCTCAGCCAGGAGTCCGTTAGCTTATCCCAGAGACCTCCAGAATGTGACACAGAAGGACAACATTTAGAAGACTCATCACACATCTTAGCAATGAGCATGGTTCTGATGTAGTGGCCTGCTCACCCCACATGATCGTGCCTGACATCTCTTTGCCATTTTGGAACGCAAACTACATTTAGGGCGATGTTCTACGCAGGGCAATATTTAATTAAGCCAGTTAGCTGGCAGATGGAAATAAGATTAGTGGCCCTTCCTGACCAATCTAAATGCATCACTTTCAGTTTTCTGCACCCATAGACAAAATCAGGGACTAATTCAATCTGTGCGTTCAGTGTATCTCAGCACTCGGTAAATGAAAGTCACACTCAAAACCCTTTGGATAGAAACAGCCCTCTCCAAACAGTTTGCCGTGCAGTGCACTTGTAGTGTGTCTGCTCAGTTGCGTGATAAGAGGTGTGATAACTGTTCCCAAGAAACAGGTGGGGCTGCTTCTCTTGCTGGTTGGAGGTAAAATCCCACTGCAAGAGCCGTTGTCTGTTGTTTTCAGTTGTGAAAATAAACAGCAGAAAATGCTGTCTTCATTGTCGATCCAGGGCAGATTTTTGGATGAAAATTTCTTTTTTTTGTAGGGGTGAACAGCAAGGATTATTTACAATTTCATCAGCTGATCATGCACAAAATCAGACTGATGCCATATGTTTACTGATTTAGGAGAGTAAATCCCATCAGTAAACTAATTCCAAAGCAAGTTGTCATTTGAGTTTATCTCTGACTTTATCACTCATATTCTAGATCAGGGATGAATACTTTCAGAAACAATGTCATGCTTTTCATGACAGTAAATGACTACATACTCACACAACTTAATTATATATCTTGGCAGTCAATGCTACCAAAAGGATAAGTTTAGAAAGATATGGATTTGGTGTTTGTATCCAACATTATTCTGAAAAGGAAGTTGATACCCGAGGGAATATCTCACCCTCCTCAGCTTAATTCACTGGTATTTCCTCTTTGGTTTCAGTTCAGAATTGCAAACCCACATTGTCAACAGTGCAGATTTGTCCTCACGGTTCATGAAAAATGATGGGGGAAGGAGGGACACATACAAGGTTACCTTGGGGTTCATTTAGTTTTTATTTTGGTTCCATTTCTCAATGCTTGACTGGTTGAGTTGTCCTTGAAAACATGCACACAAACAGAACAGCTCTCAGAGATCTGTCCTATTTCATGTAATTCTGAAGCTTGTGGTTATTGAATTATTAACATACAAGAGTATGCCTGATTTTGGATTTCAATTTGTATTCCATGGAAAATAATTTTCCTGGAAAGAATGATCTGATTTTTAAAATGTTTAAATGCACGCCAGTGTGTTGCTAAAATGGACACCAACAGACTGAAACAACAATTTATGACACACATGAATCACGAAATCTTTGACCTAGTTATATAAAGATAAAGGTCATAAAAACAACATTTGTCTATATTGTTCAAAAACACAGCATGTTCCCCTGGTTGCTACTCATCTTACGGGTTTGAATTGCATAACAGATTATAAGGAGCATAGTAAGCTCAATGTTTTGCAAGCTGGTGATGAAATGTATACTACTCAATCAAACTAGAGGAACAGCTGAAAATGACCAGTGGTTACAGACATAAGAGAGGGGAGTGTGAAGATCCCTGTTATGCTACTGAACCACACAATCATTCATGTTAAATCTTGTAAAGACTTTAAAGCTCAGTTGCAGAGGAGCTTTGAGAGTCTGGGTTCAGAGAGTTCTCATCAATGAAAAAGGTGACATTAACTCTTAACACCCAGGCATTCTCTTAAGCAACTGAAGACCATCTGTGAACTACCAAAAATTCAGGTGAATGCCCCGGAAATAGCTTTATGTGATGGTCATCAATGATGTAAGACAACTTAATGAATTTATTTATTGGGGGCTTGAATTAATCCAAATTTCACACAGAGAAAACCCTTGTACATTGTGGCTGATGGTTCCTCACCAATTAGCTGAAATTTTCTGAAACATTATATAGACGCTCCTCTACTTACGAATGAGTTATGTTCCGAATGGCCGTTCATAACTTGAAATGTTTGTAAGTAAAGTAAATCATGTAAATGTTCGTAAGTAAATCATTTTAAGGGTATACGCAAGTACAAAGAACTAGGATGCTGGGAGTTCGCACGCTACGCTGCTGCGCGGTGGGAGTAGCAGCCAGGTGTCGTACTAGGCGGAATTGGCCCTTAGAAAAAAAAAAAAGATGTTGAGGACAGGAAATGGGAGCCCAACAAACACAATTTGGACTTATAGTCCTCTTCGTTCGTATGTCTGAAAGTTCGTAAGTAGAGGAACGTCTGTATTCTAAATAATTATGATGGAGCTCTGCTTATATTCACTAAGACATGTCAACAAAAGTGGATCAACAACAGTCAGATACCATTTAATAGCCTGGGGTCTTTACATATTTATTTTTAAACATTTAAAAAATGTTTAAACAGTGTCTGACTCTGGGTGGAATTTGGTCAAATCAAATGGATTTCTGCTTCACAAAGTAACCGCTATTCACAAGAGGTTCCAAATCACTTTTTTGTGGAAAGCCAGGGTTTTGGGGATATTTGCATTTGGATAAATGGAAGAAGTATTTTCCTCAGGAGTTTTCAGGGGACAGATTGGACCCCATTATAGTTGGTGATTGCTTGCCAAATGTTCAAAGAGGTCACAGCTCTTAATTCTGTGGAAGAGCATTTTCTATGTATATATATATATAATAATAACAACAGGAAGGGAAAAAAGTCTCCCAGTGCAACATTGAGAAATGTACTAGATCAATGCCCCTTTTGACAGAGGCAGCTTTAATGCAGTCATTGTTAGCTCTCATGCTGTGTAACCCCAGGGCTAAAACACAGCACATCCACTGATGTCCAGCAATGCAAAGAACGTTCTGGAAAATCTCCATGAACAACTCAATGTTACAAAATATACTCTCTCCTCGTAAAACGGTGGTAAATACAGCTATAGAGTAAATAATGCAGTCGCTTTGAAAAATGAATGTGGGATCTGTCTGAGAAACTGTTTGCCGATAAGCAGCAACAAATTCACACAGACAGGAAGCATAATCAGCACAACTTAACCCACTTCCTGAGGCTGACACAATCAACGCTTTTCATGCTACTCACAGGAGGGCAGTCCCTGTATTGTTTCATAGAGAGGCTGCTGGTTTCGTAAGACTCTACGTTGATCTGTCAGGTGTTCTCCTTAACCTAAAATAGCTTGACAGTATATAACAAATCTTGCAGCGATCACACTTGGTTCGCTAAGCCTCTAAATGAGTAGTTTACTATTTTATAGTTATAGCTCAGTACATGGGTCAGTTTTCACTTAAGCTGTGGACATACGTGCTGAAGTAGTTCTTATCTTATCCGTCAGGCTAATGTGCCTTGCACTGCGTAACACTGAAAAATACTTCCGTTCGCACACCCGTGTCATGCCGTTCCACTATTTTGTTTCAGGAGGACTTGGCGGACGTGGCCTTGTTTTTATGGGCTTGCTGTACATCTCGCAGTTTTCTCCATGCAGAGTGTGCACGCAGCCTAATTTAAGACAGTTTCAGCAGTGGGAGGGGGACAGTGTACCTCCTGAATTCAGTATGGAGTTTCACTGGGTCACTTCTAGTTGTTGATAATGCTTATTTCGTCAATGGAAGCACAGCACTGTTGGCTGATCTCTGTCTTGCTGGGCAGTTACTGCTTTTCAAGGACGTTGATTAGACAGTACAGGGTCTCCATCAGCGTGCATGGGCTTTTATGTTTGGTGGAAACTAAACGGAAGAGCATGGAGAAAGCTTCCCGATTCAGTGGAGGAGACCTGGGCGCTGGCACTCACAGCACCATTTACAAAATGCAGAAGCTGAAATTTTCACTGCCGTTTTAGATGGACTCCTTTTGTATGGTCATGTGGCGTCAAGGTCTTTTGTTATATTGCTGAATCTATAAATTTTTCAGGTCTGATTCTGCCTCAGCATTTAAAAACATTATCACATTGTACACAGAGAAAATAATATAAATTATTCAGAGGAGCTCTGAATGTTAAATTAGAGGGGGAGAGATGAGGGACATTAGAGGAAAGTAGAAGCTAGATAAAGTGATCACTGTGTGCTACTGTGCCTGTAATCTCGCTTCATCACTCTCCTCCCAGGTTAGGCCATTGCACGGTGCCACCATGGCAACACGGAAGCTTTCTTTAGAAGCAGAATTTCTCCATGACAACCCTCACAGCAACCTGTCCTGTATCTGGAGATCTCCATCTGCTTTCTCCTCTCGCATAATCCACCTGAAAATGCTTAAATAAAAATCAGAGGAGGGAGAGATAATCAGCCTTTCCAGTCCTCAGTGTCGGAGGAGGCACCTTTAACTGCAAGATAGAGCAAGAGAGAGATGGGGGCTGTGAGTTTGGGGACGATCAAATGATGTAATGGTGCACAGCATGGTTACCTCCATGGGTGGGGGCGTTGATGTCAGCTCCGCTCTCAGCTGTCAGCGGCTTCTCTGCCAGTACCAAGGTTTTGGGGGCAGGCCAAAAGACGTGAATGGTACACCTTTCATGGGGTGGGGCTTTTTGGCAGAGCATGTGGGAAAGGGGGGGGGTAGAATATGTGCATATTTATTGATTTATTTACTTATTTAGCTTCTATCCAAAGTGACATACAGTTGTGAATGTAGGGTCAGCCAGTCACTGGAGTAATTGGGGGATAAGGTCCTTGCTCGGGGGCCCAATGGTAGATAAGCAGATATGGTCATAATATGGATTAATAATGGACAATAACATAACATGACATAGACTAACATTTAGGTCATGAGGTAGCCAGTGTAAATGAGGATTATCTAATAGTCCTGAGCAATGATCCCAGCCATGTTGTTTAAAGGTGTGCTGAGTTTATAGTAGAGTAATTAAACCTGAAGCATGTGAATACATGTTTAAATTCTATGTTAACTGTAACATGGGGCCTTACACCTTGAGGACTGTGGATTTGACTCCCACATCCATCTCTGTATTTATGGAGTTTCAGAAGGTCTCCCCTGAATAATTGTCTCTGAAATGCAGTGAGTGAATGTTTGCCTGTGAAGGACTGGAGTGTCCTGAGCTTCCTGACACAGACAATCCCCCTGCACTGGACACACAGTTTAAAAGGTTAAAAATGCTGTCAGAGAACAGCAGGGAAGTAGTCTTCAATAAGAAATAAATCACTGTGTATTATTTGAAAAACAATCTATCCAAAGTGCATTGTTTACATTTTTCCTGCTTGAAGCACTGGCTGTGAGATATCTTTGTTCCCCTGCTACCCAAAGCAGCCTCGATGAATGTCCGTCAAAACACTGGCAGATGGCTCCGTCAGCGTCGTGGGCCAAATGAGCCTCACAATCGCCTCTCACTACAGTGTTCAATGGGATCTCTCTCGCTCACCACAGCTCTGTCTGTTAGTGACCACAATGCCTTGGTACTGTAAAGTGGGACACCAGAGTCTTGCTGTTGGAGAATAATTGCGGCATGAAATCAGCACAAAATCAGCCATAAAGGCAACGCTTCTGGTAGATGTTGCATTCAGCTTAGGGGACCTTATGGTCGGGGGACGGAATGAGACAACATTTTAGCATTCAGTGACAGATTTCACACTAGACAGGACTTTCACAGAGCATCTGCTCATTAGAGTGAAGAGGCACATGCTAATTCAGTGGCTCATGATGAAGCTCCCCTTCTTTCAAAAGGGCCGTGATGCTGAAGAGTAAATATAACCCAAGAACATGCTAAAGAAATACCCGGGGTTCACAGCTGCTGCTGTAGGGGAGGACAGATTGCTGGCCCAGTAAAAATATCATTCTGTTGCTTGAAGGTCAAAGCATAGTAAAAGAAAGACCAGGATTAGTCCAAGATGAATCCACTGTGGTCACTTTTGTGCACTGCTGAGTTAATTTATCCGAAATTGCCATCTGTTGATATGCCCCATTTTTTAATGATGGTTAAAACCAGGTATTGGCTATCATCCTCACATCTAATGGTCTACAGCTCAGTTATTCATCAGGATCCATAAAAATGCAGGATAATGCAGGAATATCAAACATCCATCCATCCATCCATCCATCCATTATCTATACCACTTTATCCATCTGGGTCACGGGGAAGCTGGAGCCAATCCCAGCATCATCGTGCGAGAGGCAGGGTACACACTGGGCAGGTCGCCAGCCCACCACAGGGCCGAATATCAAACATTTTTTTACAATAACAATAGTGATAGGTAGAACTAGATAGAATATATTGCCATCTATTTATTTCTAAAATATGCATTAATTGTCATGGAAGTGAATAAAGAGCAGACACAGCACTGTGTTGGAGGCACGTAGCTGGCAGAGCAAAGGCTGGAAGCCAAACACCATGAGGAGGGCATGGGTTTTGGCATCTCTGATCTGGCAACACCTGTGGGGCCACGGGAAGGGGAAGTGCCTCAGGAAACTGCTGTGACTCGGTCAAAAGGTGAAGAGCACATTCAGGTCAGGAAGCTGTGCTCCCGTTGAGTCCCCAAGAGAGCAGGTGGATCCCATAAGCAGGACACTGTGCCCTGGATCATAGTCATTGTAAGAACAGCAGAGATTGTATTAGAACCTCTAAGGCTGGATTGCATCAACATAGATTAAATTAATCCTGGGGCCCGTACTACGAAGCAGGGTTACTGGCTTATCGGGTACTTGTCAGATATAAGGTAGTCTGGGCAAAATGTAAGTGAATGAAAATTAAGTCCATTTAAACTGTGGTACCTTAAATCCGACAAGTTACCCCGATAAACCAGTAACCCCGCTTCATAGTACAGGCCACTGGTTTACACTTAATCTAGGGTTAGTAAATCTAGATCTAACCTAGTGTTTAATTAATCAGAGATGTGTTACATGTCTTAATTTTAAGCCTAGGTTAATGAAACCAGTTTAAACTATGATTAAATTAGGATTAATTTAGCTTCAGTGTCTGCCATGATGTAAACAAATTCACAATGCAGTAAATATGGCCCTAAATAAAGTCAATGCAAATGTCTCATGAACTTTTAAAAAATAAAAGCCAATACATTTACCACACTTTTGCTTGACTAATGCTGATTTACTTGGACAATAATTGAACAGTAGTCCTTTCAATTACGAAAAGGTTTCCCATTCTCGCCACCTTGGTTAGTAATCAAAATAAGCACGGGAGATGCAGGAAGTTCGTAGGTTAAACTTCTTACATAACTTCATATGAAACTACACTGCCACACTAGTGGCGGACAAAATTTTGTTAGTTATTTGTTAGTTATTGAGGGATTGATAGCGATCAAAATGGGGCACAGCCTGTTATTTATATTTTACTTATATATGACCCGAGCCATGTTCGTGATTCTTATTAAATTTGGCCAGCAGAACGATCTTTAATTTTCCACAGAATAAAAAACGGTGTTATGTTATCCTGCTAATAAGTGCTGGCAAGTTTTACCGCTGGCACGGCTGATATTAATTAAAAGTATATTGGCTAGCGATCGAATTATCCGATGAAGAAATATGGAGATGCAAGCGAAAATGTATTAATTAATTAATGCATTAAATCTAGTAGGGGTACAAAAATAATTTTGTCTGCACAGTTTTTGCTCGCTACATCTCTTTTGCACTAACGCATTATAACTTCCATGTTAGCGCCAGTGCTTGTGGTCACCCAACAGGTAAGCTATGGCAGTGTGAAACCACCCATTTCTGCAGACTGTGGTTTTGTGAACTCCAAAAAGATCCCTGTCAACCATCTGAAAATGCAAAGCTGCTAGGAGTTGGAGAAGTGGAGGTACAGCAGAGTTCCTCTCACTTCCATGCATGATATCTGGTCCGACCTTCCCACTGAGGTATATGACACTCTTTTGTAAATCAATACCGCTGAGAAAACTCACTATTGCTTTAAATATGACTGAATTTAATCTATGTATAAGTGAAAATTAACCTGAGATTACCAAAGGTTTAGGTTTAACCAGGATTAATTGTAAACTAAATTTAAACTAGGTTTAACATTTGGTTCAACAGTATTACAAGATAGATCTTGATTTAATCCAGTTTAAAAGTTAAACCTTCTTGGTGAAATCCAGCTTCAGAGATACTTAACCTTTCCTTGTGATTAAATCTCAAACTGAACACAGCACAACCACGGCCATAGCTGCAGAAAGTATGTAGGATCCCAACGTCGAAGCTTGGAATCGAGCGGACATCAGAGAGTATTTGTTATGTCCAATTCAGAAACTGTCTAGCCACAATGTGCGGTCAGGGGGGTGCATTGATTACACCCACAGGCTGATTTATATGCACAGAAATAATATAACTGCTCTGTGCACAGGTCTGCATGGAAATGCAGTGTTTCTTTGCGCCTGTGTCCTTCGTATGGCCTGGGTCTTTTTCCAACTGACACTCCATTTTAGCTTCTTTGGGTTCTATACATTCAAAAGAGATTTCATGCATGAACTCATAAAAACACTTTGCTTATGCGTTATATGGACAAAAGCATTGGGACACCTGGCCATTACACTCACAGGATCTTTTATGCTATCCCATTCTAAATCCATAGGCTGCAATATGGAGTTGGCCCCTCATTTGCAGCTATACTTCTGGGAAGGCTTTCCACAAGACCTTGGTGTGTGTCTGTGGGAATCTTTGCCTATTCATCTAGGAGAGTATTGAGGTCAGGAACTGATGTTGGACGTAAAGGCCTGGTTTGCCGTCTCCGTTCTAGTTCATCCCAAAGGTGTTCACACCAAACTCACCCAAACATGTCTTTATGGACCTTGCTTTGTGCACTGGGGCAGAGTCATGTTGGAACAGAAAAGGACCTTCCCCAAACTTTTCCACAAAGTTGTAAGCATAGAATTGTTCAGACTGTCTTGGTATGCTGAAGCATTAACTGTTCCCTTCACTGGAACTAAGGGGCCTTTCCCAACCCCTGAAAAACATCCCGGTACCATTATCCCTCCTCCACCAAACTGAAGATGCATTGTGCAAGGCAGGTAATTTTCTCCTGGCATCTGCCAAACACAGACTCATACATCAGACTGAATTATTTTGCTAAAATTACTTTGTTACTGTACTTAAGTACATTTTTCAAATATCTGCACTTTACTTAAGTAGATTTATCATGGACACTTTTGACTTTTATTCTACTACATCTAACAGCAAATATTTATACTTTCTTCTCTACTACATTTTTACTTACTGTTGCATTGCATTTTACAATCACATTGCTGTTTATTTTAAATAACATGGCTACAGGGAAAGGTACCGATCGCACAGATAATACCAAGATCTCAGATTACCTTGTCAAGGTAAAGCCCAGCGACTCGAAGCAGGGAGTAAGTGTCAGAGGTTTCCAATCCTGTCAGCTGTTAGAAAACCTTTGGGCATTGTGTTTTTTTGTGGTTGTGGAGATGTATTGCTATACTGTTTACACTACATAGAACACCTTTTGAATCATTATGGAAAGTGGCTCTGGAAATGGCAAGAAGTGATTCCCGGATGTTTGTGATCAGGCTGACTTATTGGTAAATTGTGAATAGCATGTTGATAATGTCATGACAGAGTCCTGTGGCCATTAGCTGGTTTTATTTAATAACACACACACATACGGTGTTATATGACCAAAATCTCCTATCGCGATAACAATACATATCATGAAATAGTACATTTTCTGTAAATTCAATGAATAAATGGTTTAAATAAAATTCTGACATTGAAAGACCTATTTCTTACTACATTTTGGATTATTTACTCAACAAATAAAAGTTACTAATATTTGATTATTTTTTTCCTTTTCTTTAGAATACTTTAGAATATTTTCAATTAAGCATGTAACAAAATATATATATGTCTACTAGGACTAGGTGTTAAAATCCCTTGATGATCAGTACTGTATGGCGATTTCCTCTTAGGTAGGTGACCTTATGGGTTTTCATTTGACGATGCTCTGCCTCCAGTACGACACGTCGTTAGTTGTGTACCTCGGGGTCATTGGGTGTTTTGGCCTTTTATCACCATACACCCTCGCTCGAGGCCGGCCAACCACAGGCTGATCAGACCTGGGTGTGTGCCGCACTGGAGGCCCCACGAGTAGCCCAGCCTGTCTCCTTCCGCTTCAGCCACAGCCAATGGCTGCTTCTTATGGCAGTATCTGCAAGCTCCTTGATGGTCTTCCGCTGAGTCTGCCCTCTAACTCCCACCTCCTTCAGTAGCCTTGTGGTGGAACTAGCTACAAAGCCCCCGCAACCCACCTCCACTGGCCGCACAAATACTTTCCATCCCCGGTCCTCTGCTTCAGCTGCCAGGTTTGCATATCGCATCTTTTTCCTTTCGAATGCCTCATCGATTGCTTCCTCCTACGGAACCGTCATCTCCACAATGAAAACACGTCAACAGGATTTGGACCAAAGGACCAGGTCTGGCCGCAGGTTGGTTGCTGCGATTTCAGGTTGGAAAGTGAGCCTCTGATTTAGGTCCACCTGCATTTCCCAATCTCGGGCTGCATTCAGCGGACCTGAGTCTGGAGATGCTCTTTCGGCCTGCTGCTTCTCCCCCTCCCGGACGAAAGATGTCTGTAGCCAAAAGGCAGTTCCGATTTCCACGGCATAGCATTGGTGGCCGCCCTCTTGGCCTCTAGTGCAGCTGCCAAGCACCTCAGCACTTGGTTGTGGCGCCAGGTGTATCTGTCTTGGGATTGGCTCCTCTTACAACCCACCAGGATGTGTTTTAGGGTTGCTGGGGCAGCACACTGGAGACAGGCCGGATCCTCTCCAAACCAAAGATTTAAGTTTGTTGGAGAGGGCAGGACATCATATGTGGCTCTGATGGTAAAGCTCAACGTATTAGACTCCATGTTCCACAGCTCTCTCCAGGTTATCTTTCTCCTCTCCACGCCATCCCATTTCATCCAGCGGCCTTGCTTGGCTTGGGACACGACCCTAGCACACCTGCCCACTTCCTCCTGGTGTCGCACCTCCTCTATCACCAGGCGCCGGCGTTCTACTGGTGTGGACTTCTGCCATGTGGGTGTTGTTGTAATATAATGTATAGGTAGAGGTAAATAAAAAACTGTGCACTGTTACAGTATGTGCGATAAAATTATGTACTAAAGGTATTAATGTGAAATGTTGCGCAGTGTACGTATGCGTGAAATGTAGTGCAGAATAGATATAAGGACGCTCCACTACTTACGAATTTTCAACTCACAAACTTTCAGACATACGAACGGGAGCCCGATGAACATGTTCATTGGGCTCCTGTTTCCTGTCCGCAACATCAATTTTCTTTTCTGCGCGCCAATTTCCGCCTAGTACGACTTCTGGCTGCTACTCCCAGCATCCTAGTTCTTTGTACTTGCGTATACCCTTAAATGATGTTGAATAACGACTTACGAACATTTCTAGTTACGAATGGCCATTCGGAACGTATCTCATTCGTAAGTAGAGGAGCGTCTGTAATATGAAATGACAGAAGTTTTCTTTAACATCACATATTGCACAGCCCTACACACATATATCAGTGCTAAACTATTGTTAAACTGTGGTTGATAACTTAGATGTGCTTATCAGCATTAATCATTATAGCTGGTTAATGATGTAAACCTCATTTCATTTAACACAATGGAACATGACATTTCTCTTATTATAAACTAGCATTTCATGTTAGAAATGTTTAGACTGGAAAATACAACATTCTCATACCTGAACTTTGT